GCTTTTTTAGTTTGGTTGAAATTATTTTTTTTTGGTTGAAAATATTAATTTTGATTGAATTTATTTTTTGTTTGGTTGAAAAAAATTTTTTTGATTGAAATTATTTTTTTTGATTGAAGATGCTTTTTGTTTGATTGAATCATAAAAACACAAATTTACCTCCATAAAGAAGAAGTGGGAGGACGAGCTCCAGTTTTTCCCTTCGGGGACATTTTTCTTTATTTTAATTTTATTTTATTTTTGTACTTTTGACGGAGTTATTGGGAGGAAGCAAAGTTGCGTAGGATTCTAAATTGACCTTCATTCACAAAGTCAGGACCCAGCAGAGCTGCGAAGGGTGTCGGGTGTTGCGTGAGCTGAGAGGTTTGCCAACCCCTATCGGAGCACCAGATTATCTAAAAGGGACTTTGTCTGCCAGCCAAAGCGAACCGTCAACCAGAGGTAAGACAAGGCTGTTGGTCTGAACCATCACAAGGTGCCCAAGAGGTCTGAAGAATGCTCCGGTGAGCTACGCTGAACCCCACGGCAGTTTGCGGTGTGCTCTCTTAATGTGAATGTAACCAAGTTGGAATTAACGCAAGTTGTGTTTCCACCACATAACTTGGTCTCTTTATAATTTACACCCCTCCTTGATAGATGGATTAATTCTTCGTTTTTATTAACCTTTGAGTTTCTTCTAATTTTTGCCAGTGTAGACTAGTTAGAAGAGGTTCAGTTAGAATGATGCTAGAGTTTATTATGGAATGATAGCGACGCTTATTGTTAAACTTCAACGTTTTGATGATAATGCTTTCTGTCTGCCCAAATAATCTGTTTGTATTGTTACCTCTGAATCAATTAATACAGGTTATATTCTGAACTTTATGCTCGTCTGTGCGTTCATTATTTCGTTTTGCTCTTTAAACTGGTAGGATTCACTATTCAGTATTTGAGACTGACTTAAGATCTATAAATTAATTTCCTGGATTACCAGGTGTGCCCCTTTTATTATGCTAATAAATTACGAGGAATTTATGATTTAGCAATTGTCAATAACATCGACAGTATTTTACTACAATAGCTGGAGTAAACACTAAAAAAAATTCTAAAATTCGCCTAAACTGAAGCGCAGGAACTACTCCCCTGTACACCCTATTGATATTTTTTTCAAAGCTTTGTATATTTATAATCTTCAACATGCATAGTAAACACAAGCAAGTTGATGATATCCACTTGAAATTTTGTCACATGTACAGGTGCTGGTCATAAAATTAGAATATCATGAAAAAGTACATTTATTTCAGTAATTCCATTTAAAAAGTGAAACTTGTATATTATATTCATACATTACATACAAACTCATATATTTGTAGGAATTACTCCATGAAGATTAGGAC